CCTTCGTGGCGCGGCGGGAGGGGGCCGCCCCCCCCGGGCCCTGAGGCTGAGGCTGCCCGTGGCTGGAAGGCTGTCCCTGTCCCAGAGACTGACTCTGAGACTGACTGTGACACTGACTCTGAGACTGCCCCTGTCCCTCAGGCTGTCCGTGGCTGTCACGGTGCGGCTGGCAGGGCAGGTCCGTGAGGAAGAGCGGCGTGGCCGGCGTGGAGGAGCGTCGCGCCCGGGAGTGCGCGCGCATCCCCTCGAACTCGAGGGAGAGCGAGGTCAGCCCGTTGTAGAGGCTCTCGACACTCGGGACGGCGAGGCCCTCGAAGACGCCCTTCTGCGAAAAGGAGTTCCACCGCCTCGCACTGCCCCTACTACTCCTCCTCTTGTCAACACGAAGAGCGGCGGAGGTGAGATCGAAGATGCCTGTGAGGGGCTCACCAGCATCCATGTCAAGGGATACGCACGGAGGTTCATGGTATTCCGACACATAGTCATGGACCTCTTCAGATAAGTAGAGGTTTTGCATTTTCTTGAGGAAAAAAAACATCCAAGAAAAGAATAAATCTCAACCAAAGCCGCATCTCAACAGAATAGAGGAAAAAAATCCGTGCAGTGCAAAACCATACTTTTTCGTCGTTTTTTGTCCCTCATGCATTTAATACTCTGAAAGCGAAAGAGTCCCGATAACCGAACTCTTCCCTAGAGAATGCAAAGGCAAGCAAAATACACGCTGTTGCATGAAATGCTACCGATAAAAACCAATGTTGCATTTACCAATGAAAATAATAATAAAATATGAAGACCATATAGCTAGGGGGAGGAAAAAAAAGAATAGGCAATGCTTTTAATTACTAAATAAGTTCCATCATGTATCGCGAAACAAAAGGAAAAAATAATAATAATAATATGCTGATAACGGAGAACTCTACGTATAAACTTGGCCGCTTTTCGACCCTTTATTTCCCGAATGTGCCACAATTTAGATGGTTAATCATAGATTCAACGCGTTCCCTCACCAGGAGTGAGAAGAGAATTTCAATAAATCCCACGGGGCGGATTGCCGCGTCGCCCATTTCAAGAAGCTTACTCAACCTAACGTCGTATTTTGTTAGAAAAAAATACGCAGTCAGGGGAAACAACCAACAAAGCGGAAAAAGTAGATTGGCTAACGCCCGTGATATCAAATCCATTCGTCAAATATTAGCGCCATCCACGTAAACAGGGTAGAATTTGGCGCCACGCCGCTCGATATCAGCGTAAAATGAAATATTGACATTCTGATGTCGGCTTAACCCCGTGTAGTTTACAATTGAGGAGACCCGGCAGCGCTTACTCTCCAGACGGAGATAATCAGCACAGCGAATGCACATATCAAAGATCCCTACGAGCTCATCTTCCCTAACTCACCTTGAAACGCGAAAGAACCACGCCAGGTTCGATATCGTTCAATATCCAATCCGTGATCTCTGCCCCCATGAGCTCCGATCGGTCGAATACCTCATACCAATGAAGTTTTTATCTGTTTAATCAATGATGAAGTGTTTATTGGTGATAAAAAACCATAAATTCAATAGGCAAAGTAGTTATACTTAATGTATAACCGAACTTTGATTTTATCAACTTGGTTCTAGTAGAGCATAGGATTGCACGTCAGTTCTCAGCAAAATTGAGATATTAGACACTGAAATATTAGTGAATAGCGACTGCACAATAGGGAACCGGCACCTAAAAATAGCTAACTACCTTCCCCCACACTCTAATTGACGAACGATGAAAACTCAAAAAAAGTGATTGTGTGAGTAATACCAAAAAAAGGATAAATTCCTGTTTAGTCCCTTTTGGCTCTTTGAAATCTTCTTATTGGTTCCCTTTCTTCTAACACGTGGATACAAATCAACAATCGCCCCTCGAAGGTTGGTGGGTGGATAGTTGAAGATATTCCTTGATCTTCTATTTGAATAAAAAGGACGATGACAGGAGTGAATAGTTTTGAGAATTAAGAAACACTAGTGTTTACATATTTAAAGAAAAGACATATCAAAAAAAAGGCATATATACATAACATATGTGATGGCTTTTCTACGAATTGGTGCTGTGAACAGCACACGCCAATATATATCTATACCTATATATAGATAGATCGATATAGATATATATAATCGACAATATGTCAAGAAATGGTAACATGCGTTAAAATAAATTTTTGATTAAATCACAAAAAAAAATAGCGCGTATCTATGCTCCACTGTATATAAAGCCAAAAGTTGCCGGTGAAGCTATCAGGAGGAAACTTACACCAAAGGGAAGATAAGGTCGTAAGGGTGGGATAAATGGCAGTATCGCGTTGATACGATGCGCAACGCACTTAACACCTTACTTTATCTTACCTTTCACACGCGCTCATTTATTTACGGGGGTGAAGATGCTCATAAAATGAAATCTATCGAACAGATACAGAGCAAAACGAAATCGTGAACGTAACTAGAATACTCGTAAGTGAAGAATATATAAATACACCTCATCTTAGAAGCCATTCGCATCCTTCCTCGAGGCATTAATAGACCATTTCCCCTTTCCCACCTGATTTTTTGTGGCGATTGTTTAAAGTTAGCCTAAACTAAGTGACGTGGCAACAGCATGCCAATCTCTTCCGCTGCTTGGGCACTTCTTCTACATGCACACGATTCCCTTTATCCGGCATGGGGGCGGATTCCCTTGGATTGCCCTCCTCGGATCTGATTGGGGGATTTCGATTCACAATATCCGCCAACCGCGCGCGGGCGAGGTTCGTGATGTGGAGCCGTTCATAGAGCTCCGCCGACTCCACCTCATTCCTCCAGTGGAGGAGCTCCTCCAGGAAGGAAAGGGCGACGGAGGAGTCAAACGGGCACATAATCCGCCGCCACGTCAAGGCCTCGTCCCCCTCCTCCTCCCCCTCCTCCTCCTCCTCCAACCCAATGCTGTTCAGATCCGTGAACGTCTCGCTGCAGGTTCTTGGCAGGCAAAGCGACGGCGTGACGTTGCTCGCGCGCTCAAAAAAGGAGCTCGCCGCGGTGCTCACCACCGACGTCGCGCGCTGGGCGGGGTGGGAGGGCAAAGACGCGGCGCCCCGCGGCAGCGGGGTGGCTTTCCCGCTGATCCCGAGCTCCCGCAGCTCCCACTCCTTCACCGTCAGGTGGTGCTCGTTCACCCCACGCTTGAGGCCCGTGTAGTACCGCATCACGTTATCGCAAAAGGCATCCCAATGCTCCTGATTATCGCACTCGTTGCGCCCGCCGAGGTCGACCGGGAGGATATCCTCGTCGATGATCTTCCGCAGCGAGCCGTGTTTGATATCCGCGTCGGTCAAAACCTCCACGATGCTCGACACCACCGCGGGTAAGGCCATGATAATCGGCTTCATGCAGGTCGCGAGCATCCCGCTCATGTTGCAGACGTAGATCTTATCAATCATCCCGGGGTAGAACTTCGAAATCCGCAGCGCGACGTGCGCCTGGAAACGGAGGTCGATGTTCTTGAACAAACTTGCGCCCTTTTGATCTACGAGGAGGACAAGCTGGCATCGCTTGCACTCTTTTCGCAGCCGCGTCGCGTAGCTAACAAACATATCAAACGACTTCAACCGCATATCCCACAGGTGCTTGCTGGGCACATCGCGCCTCGCGCAGATGTAAAGGATTGTCCGCCCAATCTTATCAAACCCCAACTCCTGAACAATCCCCCGCCGCAAAGAAATCCGCATCTCATCCGTTATCTCGTAGGTCGCGAGCTCGTTCACTTCCATCGCGAATCGACGCTCCAGTTTGGCGATGGTTTCATTGATGTTAAACTTCTTGTTCTTCAGGAAACCATAAATCCAACAATCAAAGTAGTGGTGAGGGATGCTAAACTTTCTCCTTATTACGTCAATGTCCGCTTCTCGATGCTGCGCCTCCTCACCAATATCTAAGAGAACAGAACGCTCAGTCATCCGTCTACTAATGGTCCTGGTGACGCCAACATGATGAACCATACGACCGTGCAAAATAAGTAAGTAATAGTAAAAATGTTTACGAAAAATGGTGGAAAGATAATAATATATGGTGAAGGGAGGACTTCCTACCCCAACAGCAGGAGGTTCGGAAAGGCCTATACCTCGCCCAAAAGGAATTTAGTCATACTCTGTCTTGTTAGCCCATTTATCGAAAAATGTAATACGTATGTCCAAATATATATATATATATATATACATAGTTACAGCTATACAACGACCACAATGATGGATTCATACATACATGAAAATGCATCTCGAACTTTTTTATTTTTTGAAAGGAAAAGGGAAATAAAAAAATACACTGTAAGGCATGGTTCACCTCTTTTAAATGTGAGTCTCCGGGTTCATCAGCCCGCGCTCGTGTGTATCCTTCTCAGGTGATCTGAGTAACTCCGCTCAGCTACGCGGTGTACTGGCGCAGTCAAACATGAAATTTCTGGTTTTCCAAAAAATAAAATCACGTAGCACGATCTGTGAGGTGTGGAATTTAGAAAAGATTGAGGTCTTTCATAAAGGAAACATTCTGCTCTAGAACCTGCACCTAATGGAAACGGCATCGAGGCGGATCGCCATCTTCGTGCTGGATGACAGCGGCGCTCACGTTTCCAAGCACAAAAAGCTTGATGTGGAAAGGCGGCTATAGTGGAAAAATGAACCCCATTAACGGGCATTAGCCGCGCAGAATCGCTGCACGACGTCACCACCGGTAACGTCTAAACTTTTGAACTAGCTAGCAAACTCGTTTTCAAAGCCCTGCTTCTTACATGATGCGATAACTTTGGTTGGAAGGAAAAGGTCAAACCAATACTTGGTGGCGCCGTGCCTTGTTATCCGTTCTGCAAGTGCATCCGCACAAAGCAATAATAGTGTTGAAAATTAACGAGCGAAGAGGAAGTTGTGCTAACGATGGGTGTTGAAAGAAAGCCCCATAGGATGAATTCAGAATATAGAAGTGCAGTGTAATCGGCCCGGCAAAAATACATCCAACAGAAGCAGCAGGAGCACGAGCGCGGAGAGAAATGAATGCTCCACGATTACTAACCAAGACTTGTGCAACGAGGACCCTATTAATCACATCAAGCACAGTCAAATTTTTAAAAAAGTAACCAGATTAGCTCGATTTTTAGCGTCGACAAATACGGCAAAAACAAAAAAAGGTGATCCATATCACGATCCTGTAAAATAAGAAATATCTAGATATAAACCAAACACGCAACGATAAGACTTTACCTGAACGCATCAACCAGTAGAAGAGAAATAATTAAAATAATAAAGTAGAATATAATCACTTTTAGGAGGTTCAATCAAGAGAAATCAAGTGGAACATGTTCTCGCGATGCACTTTCCATTATGAAGACGATGAAGAGTCATGTGGAGATGGTTCGAACAGCATCAGCAGCTGCAATCCAAACATTTCCCACAGAGAGGAAAGGAGGGAGCTAAGAATGGCATCAGCGCAGGATTTGACGACGAAGATCAGTAACGAGGATGTACGCATAGAATTCAGGGAAGCAAATGGAATATATATATACATATAAAGCAACACATGATCAGTTTTGGCCGCTCACGTTCAAATCCCCTATTCCGCCCACTCCCCCCCCAGGCACCCCTCTAACGAATCGCCGCTTTCGGAGAAGCTTGCTAGGGTGCTCCGCTCCTCCTCCTCCTCCCCGCTCTCGCCGTTTTCCCCGCTTTCGCCGTTCTCACCACTCTCGCCGTTATCCCCACTTTCGCCATTTTTCACGCTTCGTTCAATTTCGCCGTTTTCCGGATTTTTCTCCCCCCACATCTGGGAGGTCGCGGGACTGGAAAGAGAAGGGCTCGCGAGCACCACCCCCGTCCGCGGGCAGATGCCACTCCACCGCAGCTCCCACGCCTTCACGCACCGCCCAATCCCCTCTTCTTCCGCTTTGGCTTCGTGGATTTCCGCTTTTGAAGCCTCCGCGGTTTTCTTGCCGGTGAGCTCGTGCTGGAGGGCGGTGAAGTAGGCCTCAACGCGCGCGGCGAAGCGCTCCCACACGGCGGGCTCGCGCAGCTGCCGCCGCCCCCCGAGGCTCTCCGGGAGGACCTCGTCGTCGACGACCTCCCGCAGCCCCCGCAGCTGCTGCTCACGCGTGCTAAAGACCTCAAAACGCCGCGAAACGACCTCCGGCATGCGCGAGATAATCGGCCGCGCGATCCGCGCGAGGGCGCCGCCCATATTGCAGATGTAAACCTTCTCCACCGCCCCTGGGAAATACTTCGAAACGCGCAGCATGAGGTCGGCGGAGGAAGGGATGTCGATGTTCTTGAACATACTCGCGCCCTCTTGGTCGACGAGGAGGATCATCTGGCAGCGCTTGTGATCCGGGCAAAGCCGCGTCGCGTAGCTGAGGTAGATGTCGAAGAGCTCCTGCCGCTCCGCGCGGTGCTTCGCCTGGGGGAAATCGCGTTTCACTTTGACGTATAAAATGGTACGGCCTTTCCGATCGCGCCCGATTTCCTGAACCACCCCGGATCGCATAGATTGACGCTTGTACTCGGTGAGCTCGTAGGTCGCGAGCTCGTTCACCTCCATCGCGAAGCGACGCTCCAGCTTCGCGACCGTCTCCTCCACATCAAAGTTTTTGTTCTCCAGGAAGCTATAAATCCACGCATCCAAGTGCCCATTCGAAACCCCAATGCGAGCCTTGACCTGCTCGACTTTATCTCGCTTGGCAAGGGCGGCAGGGCCTAGCTCCTCCAGCGACGTATAATAGCTATCCATCGACACCACTCGCCGCAAATTTGAATCTGAAATTCACAAGGAAGGAAACGAAGAGCAATGAATAATATACCGCTCCTTCACCACCACACTACGTCACGTTCCGTATCACGGTCAACCTCGAGCTTTGTGATTCGACTTGGGAACCTAAAGTTCCTAGAGCTGTCTAAGAAAAACACAGAAAATAAAAGTGGAAGATAATGCGATAGTTCTAATTAATCTAGTCTCGATTATTCGTGATGAGGACAAATGTCTGGAAGAAAATACAAATGATCGACAAATCATTCCGTTTACTATTTATTTACTTTAATTAGCGCTCAACCTTGCTGAAAAGAAATCCGATAAGCCATCAAAATTACCATAAAATAATAGATAGAAACACTATAGGATCGCAATAAACTGAAGAGCAATCTAAACAGGGGGATGAACACGCGTCAGAAAATACATTTTGCAATAGAGAAAAACAACATACACATCGTAGTGCGAAGCAATTTACTACGGCGGTGGATAGACCCCCTTCAAGAGCGGAAGGATACCACAGAGTCCCTCTCGTTTCGAACCTGAAAGGAATTCTGACTAAGGTTCCTATAAAACAGCTCCCTCTGTAGAAGAGAGCCACGTGTACTCGTGAAGAATAAAACAACCAAAATTAAAAGTCAAATTAAACCATCAAAAGATGCCGCGTTAAGGCACTCGTTGATATAAGCACTTGCCTTTTTGTTGTTGATACCCTCAGAATCATGGCAAGAAAGACATCCCCAGCCGTAATAATAATTCATTAAGGCATAATCTTCCATAAAGATACATGCATTGAGGTGGAATGTGTTTATGGAACGACTCATTAAAGATATTTATAAAAGAAATGTATCACGGAATATGTGAGAGAGAGAGAGTGCTCCACTCTGTACAGAGACCATACTCGTAGGACATGAATTACACAAGGGTGTCAAAAGCCATCGATGATGAGATCCGCTAACAATAGGCAAGAGGGGGGAAACTCGCGATACGGAAAGAACAAAAGTAATCAATGATCATGTTAAGGCTCTTTAGCACATCTACGCTTTCGAATAGCTCGAAAGCTATGACGATAGAATTGAAAAACATCCTTACTAGCGTCTCAGCAACAATAAAAAGGTCACATGCAAGAAGGGTATAAGCGAACATATCGACTCAAGAAACCTCAATCTCGATAGCTCTATCACAAGATTTGCATAATCCATGAGAGCCTTCAGCCAGAATCAACCAATCCCTTCCCTTGCGCTCCCGATAGTGTAAGGAGGACAGATAAAAAGGTTAGTAAACAATCGATCATTTTTGTATTCTAACGCTCGCGTGTTAAACCTACCCTACAAAGGCATTCTTAGATGTAGGTAAGCACGATATGTATGCTATCAAAATACTGCATCCGAACTGCGGGCGATGCAAAAAAAAAACAATCAAAAAATACAGGGAAAGAAGTGCAACTATCAAGCAATAGAAAAGCACATGTGAGATGCGTATTTAGCACTATTTGAAGTTTGAACAGGAGGAGCAATATTTTTTTTATACAAGAGCTTATGCATTTCCATTCGAAATCTCTCTCTTTTAAAAGGAACAGAAAAAGGATAATCCTAAATATGAATAAAAAATTACATATAAATAAAGTAGCATTAAAATAATTTAATTTAATTAATAGAAAAGAAATAGTAAATTAAAAATAATATCACTGTATACAACACCGGATTAAATAAAAATAGCTTTTCCTTAAAGAATTTATACTTAAGAAACACTTGTAAGGTAAAATATTTCCAGACTGAAGATCGCCAGACTAGGATTACAAAACACGTAGTTTTTTTACGAGTTGAGAATTTGAAAATTTAAGGCGGTTACATAAAACCAACTAGAAAAAATTTGTACTTCATTTTTGGGTTCATCAATCTTTAAAACACCAAGGTTACGTCACGCCGTAGTATTCGTCGTTTACACAAAGCAACAGGAGTAACCACATGGGTTGAGTTTGGAAAAAATTCCTAGATTAACTATCCTTTCCACAATGGATCAAGATAGATGGATGAGGGGAGAACATTTATACAAATATATCTATATATAGATATAAATACGCACACACACACACACATGTATATATATATATATATATTTATTTATTTAAGATTACCGGACGCTCTTGAATACATAAAATCCAAAGTTACTATGATTAATGTATTTCTTACTATTATTCGTTATTTCTGCCAATATTAACTGAATGGCATAAACTCACGACCCGCATCTTCAACCTCCGTATTCTCTAGGCGGTGAACTCCGCGTAGATGGTTGAGGTCGTCCCGAACACGACGCCAACGACGCCACAGATGAGCAACACGTAAGTCGTGAGATAGCGAAACCACCCCACCGAGCGCAACGTCCAGTTTCCCGCGTACATGTACATCAACGCGGGGAAGATGTACGAGATAAACCCGCCGGAAAATCCCCCGACGAGCCCTAAGGCCGTGTTCACGCGCGGAATAAAAAGCCCGCCGATCAGCGAGAGCGTCGCCATCGCGCTCACGATCAGGGCGTGCTTCCACCACACGATCGTCTTGCAGTCGACCTTGGCGACGTGGTAGATCGCCTCGCGGACCGGGATCATATTCAACCCATACCCCACGCACAGCTTAATCATAATCACGCCGTAGGAGACCCCCATCAAGGGCTCTTTGATGGGATTATAGAGTTTTAACGCGCTCCCGGTTACCGCGGCGCCGAAGTCGAGGTAGCCAAAGAGCCCGCGAGGGAATAAAGCGAGAAACAAAGGGTTACACTAATCCCCCCGGTCATCGTCAGCCGCCGTACGGTGGGTTTGTAGAGCTCATCGTACACCTCATAGCAGTTCAGCTGCGAGAGATACGCCGCCATAAAAATGGCGAGCCCCTGAACGGCGCTGTTGCTGGTTTGAAAGTACACGATATCCTCCCGCACCCCATGACGGAGGCCGTTCTGAAACGAGTGCAGCACCATGCTAAAGACGAAGTACATCATCAGGAAGATCGCGATGACGGAGAAGTACCGCAAGGAGTTGATCTCACGTGGTAGCGTAAGGGGATACATAAAACACAACCACAACAACGCGGTGATCAATCGATGCGCGGTTTTGGTGGTGAAAAAATGCGGCACGTTGGGGGCGTTCTCGATGAAAGTCGCTGTGATATCCCCCATCGAAATCACGTAGGACACCTCCGTACCGAAGCTGAGAAACCACATGCAAAAGGCGAGGAAGTAATCCATCCCCGCCCCCATCGTCACCCGCACCACCTTCTCATAGCTTCGCAGCCCCGTTCGCTTCCCCGCAATCGCGAGCAGCGTGTAGGAGTACACCGTGAGCATCCCGATCACCACAAGATACAC